TCATGAACCCCGGGAACTTCCCCGACTGCACACCAAAATGCACACTTAGCAGGATTGAGCTTCATTCAATAACGCTGGAGAGTAGAGAAAGTCTCGTCCAAGTTTGATATATAGGCCGACGCTTGCTTCGACTTCACCAGCAAGCCGTCCATATAAGCTTCCAGATTAAGACCAATCTGGTGCTTGAAGACCTTGCTGACAAGCCTCTAATATGTATCTTCTATGTTCTTCAGTCCGAATGGCATCATCTTGTAGCAGTAAGTGCCCAAATCAATGATGAAGGAGGTATTCTCTTGATCATGCTCGTCCATGAAGATCTGGTTGTAGCCGGAGAAGGCATCCATGAAGCTGAGCAGCTCATGTCCTGCACTTTCGTCGACTAACTGGTCAATTCAAGGCAGGGGGTAGCTATCTTTAGGACAAGCTTTGTTGAGGTCGGTAAAGTCCATGCACATCCTCCATTTGTTCAGTGCTTTTTTCACTAATACAACATTGGCTAACCACTCTGGGTATTGGACTTCCCGAATGAAGCCAACTCTAGAAGCCTCTTGACTTCGTCGGCTGCCGCCTTCTAGCCTCCGGGCCAAGATGTCTCTTCTTCTTTTGAACAGGCTTAGTATGCCTGTCAACGGACAGCTCGTGGCATATCACTTCGGAGGGAACCCCTGACATGTCCTCTGGTCCCCAGGCGAACACATTAGCGTTTGCCTGTAAAAACTCTATCATGGTCCCTCTCTAGGGTTCGACTAGACTAGACCCAATCTTGACCGACTTCGATCCTTTTTTATCAATAGGTATCTCTTGGAGCTCTTCCACCGGTGTCGTCCTTTGTTGCTCCATTGTCTCCTCTAATTAGAGACAAGCCTTCTCGATGGGCATGGCGCCTTGTGCACCATTACCCTTGACCGAGGGCGGGTAGTAGGACCTGACCTCTTGTTGATTGCTCCTGGTAACTCCAACACCAATAGGAGTCGAGAACTTGACCATATGGTGGTAAGTTGAAGGAATGGCTCACAAGAGAAGGAGGGTAGTTTGGCCTATGATGACATTATGGGCCGACTTGAGATTCATCACTAGGAATTAGACCTAGATTGTGGCTTACCTAGGGTACTCCTCAACTATTAAAGGGAGATTAATCATCCCTTCTGGCAAAAGAGAATGGCCACTGAATCCGATGAGGGGTCCTCTACAGCAGAACAAACGGGATTTTTCGATGCTCATTCGGTTGAAGGTGTCGATGTACAGGATGGCTACCGAGCTCCCTGTGTCGACCATGATCCACTTCACCTTATAGCCGTCAATCCTGGCTGTGATGACAATGGGATCGTCATGAGGCATCTCAATGCCTTGTAAGTCGGCGTCCCCAAAAGATATGAGCTCCTCCGCCTTCGTCCTCTTGTCGCCTTGGTTAACCCGCAACCCCCTCTTAGCATATCTCTTCCAGACGTTGTTGGACAACACTCCAACAGTAGGGCCGTCACTGATTGTGTTGATAACACCATTGAGGCTAGGCTCCGGGGGTCGGCTATCTTGATGCGGCCTAGGACGGGCTGACCGCGAGCGGGATCTCCTATTATCCTTGGCCGGGGCAGCTTACCTACGATCCCATCGAGATGAGGTTCTTCAAATATCTTCTCTCAATTAAGTCCTCAATATCCCTCTTTAGGATTCGGCAATGATTGGTGAGGTGGCCGTGGTCCTGGTGATAACGGAAAAATTGTCTGGTATCTTGATTCTTAGGATTTGACCTCATTTGAGGAGCGGGCTCCTTGACGTATCCTTCCTTTTGAACCATGGCAAGAGCATTGGTGAGAGAGGTGTCAAAGATCGTGAGAGAATACATTGGCGCTGGGTCTTTCTATCGGTCCCTCCTTTTGGACCGATTGGGGTGAAAGTCGACTCTCTGATGATCTCTTAGCCACTCCTACTTTGCAGGGGGTCCTCTGGCCTGCTCGGGCATTGCTGTTGCCACTGGTATTGCTGTAGGAGTCAACGGGGTGGATGGGATTGCTAGCGTTACTGAAGCCGTGGCTAGGGAGATCTTTGCGGCCCTAGCAGACACTTTATAGGCACAGACATCCTTCATATCCATGTACTCGTGTGCCTTGGCCATCAATTGTTCATAGTTGGCCACTAGGTTCTTGGCGAACGAGTCAGCCAACTCATTGCTCTGTAGGTCGACAACGAGTGTAGACATGGCGACTACACTCCTGGGTCATTGACCTCTAGCCTTTTTGCCTGAAATCTTTTGAAGTAGGCTCGGAGGCTCTCTTCTGGTCCCTACCTCATCTGGATTAACACATGAGGGGAGGGGGGGGGAGCTTCTGCTTAGTGTCATCCAGGAAGTGGTGGATAAACTTTCGGCTGAGCTGTTGGAAGTTGTTGATGGACTTCTTCTCAAGGACATTCTACCATAGCTTGGCACTCCTTGAAAGAGTGATGGGAAAGCATCAACAGATGACAGCTTCCGATGCTTGGAGCATGCTCATCACATCATAATAATTCTGAACATGCTCGGAGAAGTCTCTCTCGCCTTTGTACTTTTCCACGTGAGGCATCTTGAATTTCACACATGGGGTATTTAGAAGGTCATCGGAGAGAGGGGTATTCCCCCCTATGGCGTCTGTGACCGGTTTGTACACTCGGTCATATCCGAAAGTTTATATGGTAGTTAAAGGAGCTAGAGAGGCGTGACGATGGGGAGCCTTAGAGACTACTCCCTTAGTGCACCCCTCATGTTGGCTTAGGTTGGGACCTCGTCAGAGGTCTCCTGATGATGGTGAAGCTGTCGGCGAGACTCGTCAGCACAAGCCGGTTGACGAGGCGGCAGGGATGCGCGCTCAATATGATCCCCCATTTGCTTAACAACGGCATGAGGAGTCCGAGGTTGGACTACTCGCTGGGCCCCGGCAGGAGAATGAGTCTCCGATAGTCGATCTCCAGAAGGCAGAGGAAGAGATGAGGTAGCTCGTTGCGGCTGTGGAAGCCGACTGAGAAGTTCATCTGTAAGGATGACAAATTGCTCTTTGAAAGACTGAGAGAGCTTGTGAGCTATTTCCTCAAGTTGAGCTCGAGTAACATAGCTCTGATGTCGTTTTACATGGTGAGGTTGATCAGACCCTTGTTCAGAACTTGACATGTTTTCTTAAAAAAGAAAAGATGCCTCACAATGGGCGCCAAACTGATTATGTTCTAGTGATCACACAGTCAGTTATATCCGTATTTGGATAAATTTGTTGAGGATTGATGAAGGGGTCGCTTACTTCCCTAACTTTATGTCTAGTTCTTGAATTAGGGTATCTGAAAATCTGCACAAGTAAAAATTTATAAGAGGGTGGGGTTTGGTTCCCCCATTGTACCTCCGAAGATCAAGTTAGCTGATGAACTTGAGTAGGGTTTTAAAGAGTTATTGTAATTCTTGTATGTACAGTATGATTTGCAATTTTAGAGGATTTACCAAAATCTAGAATTCGGTTCTCGCCCAAGTTGAAATAGTACATGTATTTATACTAAGGTGGCAATGATAAATTAGTCCTATTGGCCGAAAGCAGAAAGACGATAGTGAAGAATAGGCTGGCGGCCACGTCAGCTCTTGCTTTATAGGTGTCGGCTAGCGAGTGGAGGGAAGATCGCTTTGACATTAAATGGGAAGAGATTGACGGCATGGCAGGGCCCACGTGGTCCGATGAGTCATGAAGACTATCTGGGCTAGAGTCATGATGGCACCTTCCAAGCATTAATTGCAATATTGACACATTGTCATAGAGGGAAAGGCTCGAGATGAAAACAGCCATTTAGCTTCGCCGAGAAGCAACGCCTTTCGAGTTGACTTTGCAAGGCATCTGGCAAGTGATTGAGTGGACTCGTGGTGAGTATTCTTCAATATAAGGGGGGGCGACTAGCACCGCCTTTCGTGTCGATAAGCACCGTCTTTCATGTCGACATACACCGCATTTCGTGTCGACACTGAGGTGTTTCGTCTCGTCAGGTCGGCTGAGTTGTTGTCCCTAATTGTCTCTGGTCGCCAAGTTGATTGGGGCATAACGTGTATAAGTACACTTGTCAGCTACTTGGTATTGAGTTGTATTTTGGCTAAAATGGAAACACCATAATAGCTCTTTTGATGAGTCATCAATTTTGATAAAAGTTGAAGAGGATGGACCGCACACTTTTTTGTCTTGTAGTATGAATATAGTTTAGACTGAGTAGTCTAGTTATCACTACTTATGTTTTTTATTCCAAAGCAGTTATTTAGACCTAGTTAAGCCCCTTTACTGGAAATAAAATAGAGCCTCTTTTTATATCCTTATGCTTAAAAAATTGTCTTTCACTGTATTTTACTCTCTTTTATGCACGTATGGTGTCTTCGAGTATTTATATAAGAGTTTTTTTATTCAACATTTAACAAAACTTAATTAAATTCAACTAGTAAATTATTATATTAGAAGATCAAATTAAGCTTTGAGGCATCAATTTAAATGTTATTTAGTAGAATTCACTCAGAAACTTATTCACATTAGTGTCAGCTTAATCAAGGTAGTGCAACATGTTCATTGTTGAAATGTCATAAAATAATTATATTTACTTATATTATGCTTTACTTTTATAGGATTTGTTTAGAAATTAAAAAAGCTAAAAGAATTTAATAAATACCACATTGCATCAACTCTGTTACTGTTGAGAAGTCGTTGATTTACTTATTAGACTCTTTAGTTTTATTAATTTCATTGAATTCTTATTCTTAAAGAAGAAAAAAATGGTGTCCCCCCAGTCACAAGTAATGGCATTTGTTCAGACTAGACGTGCTTTATATCTGTTTAAAAAAATGCGCCATATTTTCACAACAATCACAAGAAAGAAGAGTATGGCACTTAAACTGAGACTGACTACTCATTTACTTTTTCAACCAACCCAAAAAAAAGTAAAGGGGATCAGTATGTTCTTCAAATTTTCAGTCTATGCAAGAGAGATATAATGGCTAAAGAAATAGCTAAAGCATATATTAGTGAAAATGGAGAAGACAGAACATATATTCATTTAAAGCTTAGAGTCCTCAAGAGTTCACTGCTTAAATTATAACAAACGTTCTCCTATAAGTTTATTAAAAAAGCAAAAAAGCAGAAAGGGAGGGAAAAAATGATAAGTTCTCATTGCTCAGTTACCACATAGCCGGGAATCTAGATTAGAGCCTGAAACCTTTCGGAGAATGGAGCTGTGGAGATCAGAAAGGAAGCATCACAGCCAATAAATATCATCTTCTTACACTCTTTTTAAATGCTTGTCATCGGTGTGAACCAATGATGAGAAATGCTTCTCAAGCTCTCCAGAGCACTAAACCTTATCTTGCTTCTCATTTACAAGTGGAGTCACCTCTAATCTGCTTCTCGGTGTCCTTGGTGTTCGTGGAGTTCGAGGGGTTCCAGGTAATTGCTGCTGAGATAGTTTATGCCTCACATAGCCATAGAATGTGCAGCCTGAAAGAGTGATTGCACATCCGATAGCATTCATGCCAGAAATTGGATTTCGAAAGATGAGCCACGAGACCAAGACAGCAACTGCCACCTGAACACGAAAAAATAATAACAAACGTAAGTAAAAGAGGATAGTTAGAAACATAAGGAAAGATCTTAACTTTTAATCTCATCACCTTCAGATTGCCTGCTACATTGAAGGTTACAGCAGTAGTGGAATGGATCACATAAAATATGGAGAAGTTGAGACAGAAGGCCAAAATTCCTGAGGTAAAGATGATTATCATTGCAGAAAAGATGGATTCATGTGTGTAAAACCAGTTAAAAACTCCTGCTCCTTCGAGTAACACTGCTGGTATTGCCAGTATCATAGTTGCAAAGGGGGCCATATAATAGACTGTGTTTATACTACAGAAGAATAAAAAAACAAAATAAATTCATCTGAGAAAACGATCAACAGCAAAACAGTATGCCAGAGAATATGCTTATTGATGATAAAACAAATAAAAATACTCATCCAATTCAAGAAGGAAGCTATTATAATAATTATGAAAAGACAAAATCGGCGCAAATTGAAGTTGTTATTGTATCAGAGGCATTCTCCACAGCAAAAAAGACTAGCAATTCTGCATGCTTACACTTTGTCAGCTTCTTTTACGAGAACTGTAAGCTTCTTCATCCAGTTGTGTAAATATGCTTTCCTACATCGTAACAGTCATGCTAGGTTGCACTTGTATGGTAATACACACACACACACACACACATAAATTATGGGTATGCAGATGCAACAAAGTTTGAAAATTTTAAGGATAAAGATATGTTGATGATCGGGCAACAAAAAATTTGATGTGCATGAAGATTAATGTTCTATACCAGCAAGATTGTTTTATGAGCTTATGTGTTGAAAAATACTACAATATATTTTAGACTATGTTAATCGGATACAGAGAACCAATCTTAATTGGAAATATGCTTCTTACCTGTAGATGGAATTTTCAGAGATATCACATGTTTCCATATTTATCAAACTTTTCCTATTTTTTATTTATCTGCATGATGATTAACCAATTACCATCATCCCTAAGATGACGGTTCTGACATCCATATGTATCCCAAGTATCCGTTTCGGTAACAACCTGCCAAGGTAAAAAATAGCAGCATGTGCGGGGTAGCCAGCCTGAGCATATACTGCCATGGATGCAGCCTGAGCTTATACTGCCATGGATGCAGGAACACATATGCACAGCATAAATAGCAACTGCTGCTTAGAGAGGAGAGGAGAGGAGGAGGAAGTGAAAGAATAGATGAAAGAAAAGCTAATAAAGAATAGAAAGAGAAGATGAATTGATGTACGAATATGCTCACGTGAAAAGGATATGATTTGCCTCTGCGGGGGATCCGAAGTATTGACATTCAGGTTGGAAAATTGAGCCTGAACACTTGATTGTGAAACTTTTAGCTTCATATTTTCATATGTCCACACACTAGGAATCTACAGGCCATGGGTACTGAAAATTGTTTGCATGTGTCAGTAAATGCCAGAGTTCAATAATTGATCCATGGCTCACCTCCAAGTCCTTTAGTAATGTATGCTCATAAGAACATATTGATACTAAACGTGTTATGCATGTGACCATGCCCAAATATGTGCATAAGCATGCCATGGAAACCTACTCAAAGATGAGTATCCAATGTCCAGAACAGTTTCTCACAGCAATTAACTATTAACATAATTAAGAAAAAAACAGAAATAACTGACAAGAAACAAAATACTGGTTGAGATATCAGTGTATCCCATAGAAGTTAAAAGTAGCTTAGATCAAACTGAAGATAGCGTAAGGGAGAGTCTTATGGGTTTGCTGAGACGGGAGAAGCTGATGAATGCACGAGTAACAGAATCACAGATACAGATTCTGGCAAAGTAAATTGAGGTGGTAAAACCATAAAAGGAATAGGCTAGTTGGCGATATAGAGCAAGGTATCACCCTCTCCATTGTGCTGAATTGAAAGTATGCTCATTAAGAACATATTGATACAAACGTGTATCGCATGTGACCATGCCCAAATATGTGCATAGCATGCCATGGAAACCTACTCAAAGATGAGTATCCAATGTCCAGAACAGTTTCTCACACGCAATTAAACTTTATACATAATTAAAGAAACAAAACAGAAATAACTGACAAGAAAACAAAATACTGGTTGAGATATCAGTGTATCCCATAGAAGTTAAAAGTAGCTTAGAATCAAACTGAAGATAGCCGTAAAGGGAGAGTCTATGGTTTGCTGAGACGGGAGAAGCTGATGAATGCACGAGTAACAGAATCACAGATACAGATTCTGGCCAAAGTAAATTGAGGTGGTAAAACCATAAAAGAATAGGCTAGTTGGCGATATAGAGCAGGTATCACCCTCTCCATTGTGCTGAATTGAAAGTATAAAAGAATCCATGAATCCTGATCCAGAAATTGGAATAACGTTTGTCTTAACTAATAAAGAAGAGGAGGAAATAATATTGAGATAAAATGTCAAGATATGACCCTTACAACAATTACTGGAAGAAAAGATCCACATACTTTGACAACAAAAATTGGAAGCATGCCTTGTGCCCTAATTTTGTGTTCAAATTGAAAAACAGCAGGAATAAATCGTGAGGCATACGTTTTTAGTAGATACAAAAAGAATCCAAATGTTATGCTCAATTGATAAGTCTCTTGTCCTGGCATGGTTTTCATATCAGCCCAACTTAAGATTTACAGACTTATGTGAACCATTTCAGCTTGCACTACCACATTCTTCTTTTCACTTTTTCATAAAAACGAGAAGTGTTACACCCCACTCGGCCCATTTTCCAGGAAATAAGGTTCCTATATTTGTTTGCAGACAATTCGAAACCCCCCCCCCCCCCCAACACATGAATTCACCGAGTCGCTGTCAACGTCGCAGGAACCTAACTCCAGACACTTGAGATGCAACTACTACTCTTTAGAAAATATAACACTATTAAGTTTCTAACGAGAGATTAAGTAGAAGATAGCAATATACATAAGCCACTTCAGGTCCTGGTTCTATGTCAGGTCAGGCAACTAACGGTTATCCTACTAGTACTAGATAGAGTTTGAACACTAAAGCCTACATTGGTGTCATGGCTCCACCAAACACCATATGAAAGCAAGTGAATATTTCAATCCCCACCCAAAAGAATTCAGAGCTGTAACACCAACTTGCATGGTAGTTAAACTTCACATTTGCAAGAAATTGTAATGAACATAAAAGTCATCTACTATATGATACGAGGCAACGAGGAAGCCAGTGGCTGCGTGTTATTGATGATAGAGTCTAAGAAGAACGTGAAAACTTGACAGTACGCTTATGATAAATAAGGTGTGTATAAAGATATCATCGCCAAACTATGCAAAATTGTAATAAACAACATAATAGTCGCCAACTAGAAAATGAGGAAGCCATTGGCTCCCTGTTATTAATGATATAGAGTCAAAGAAAGTGAAACCTTGCCAGTACTATAGACCACTAGACAGCCAAAAATGATGACCGTCAATCAAATAGCTCAAACACTATATGGTTTCCACCAAGGGCAAACTGGTCATTCCAACATGACCAATGAGTTCATGAAAGCCATATTTGACCACAACTGGCTAAGGATACGAGTCTATTCAAGGATACAGAAAGTGCTAGGCGGCCTAGACTTTGGATCCGGCGACTAATGCCTACGTGCATAAGCGGGAGCCTAGGTAGGGCCTAAGTGTTTTATTTTTTTATTTTTTTAATGACAATCAATGTTATCAAAAGCGCTAGACACCGCTAGGTTCCAAACAGGTGCCTAGCGCCTAGGCGCTAAACCTAGGAGAATTTCTTTTTCTATTTAAACAGTGGTGGATGAGATTTAGCTAAAGGTCGGAGGAGTTGGAGGTGTTCATAGTCAGTGGAGGAGGTCAGAGGAGTTCGGAGGATGTGGAGGCAACAACAGAGAAAATCATGACCAAGACCTGGAGATGCAATCCACATAAGTAGTCGTCACTCCCCTAGGCTCTTTCAAGACCTAAGCGGGCAGAGCATAGGCAACCTGGGCAGAGCATAGGCGGCCTAGGCACTGCCAAGACCTAGGCGGGTAGAGCATAAGCGGCCTAGGTATCGCCAAGGCCTAAGCGGGAGCCCAAGAAAGCTAGGCATGAGATTTTTAAAACATCGAGTCTATAAAATCCTAAGTGGAGTGGGGATCGACTGAAAATCTGCTGAAAATAGGCTAAGACCCTATATACGCGGGACTATGGGGTTTTACACGGGCCTAATTACCCCTACATGATCTAAGACCATGTCAGCTATGAATTGACAGACAGCACTGCAACAAGTCAAAAGAATGCATAGCACAAAAAGACAAAACACCCACATATGATTACACAGGGCTACAAAAAGCAACCAACTTTTTATTACACGAGGCTATTTAGCTCGCATAAAATGCAAAATATGTTAGAAAATACTGTACAATTATGTTTGTCAGAATGACGTGCATGTCAGACTATCAGAATGGCTAAAGGCAAGTAAAGCCTAAGGGTGCGTACAACTTAGGCCCACATAAGGAGGGTTTCTCTATTAATAGAGACTCTTCACCTACCAACAATAGGTCGATTTTTCAAGAGGTCAAATTTCAAATTTCAAGGGAAGCGTGGGCTGCTTACGTGGACTCATTCTTTGGGCCTTGATTGTAATTCCCTATGTTGCAGTCTTCACGTTCTCCAACCTCCAAAATACTCTAGCCTCTCAACTATGAACACCTCTTCTACTTCCTCCGACCTTCAACAAAACCTCTCCCACCACCACTTAAACGAAGAAAGAAATCCGCTTAGACGTTAATCCAGCGCCTAAGCTTTCTATAACATTGAAATTTACTATCAATTATTTTAATTAAATAATAAAAAATAGAAAAATCACCTAAGCTCCCACCTAGGCGCCTAGCTCAATGTGTCAGTTTCAACGCCTAGGCCACCTAGTGCTCTCTGTAACCTTAAGTCCACTACAAGAAGAAATCATGTCTCTCTCACAAAACGACGCGAACAAGTACATTTATGATAAATAAGGTGAACAAAATAGAATGAATTTGACAATGTAATATATGATCAACAAACTATGCAAAGTTGTAATGATCAACATAATAATCATCTACTACATGATAGAGGCAACGAGGAAGCCATTGGCTGCATGTTATTGATGATAATATAGTCTAAGCAGAAAGTGAAACCTTCCCAGTATGCTTATGATAATAAGGAGAACATAATAAAATGAAATCGCAGTGTAAAGATATGATCTATAAACTATGAAAATACTTTTAGCATTAAAGTGCATAACCATTGGCAAATGAAACACAACATGTGTCTTTACTAACCTATCAAATTTATATCCATGGAGAAGGGATTCTGCCAGGATTGTCTTTGTGGATGTAGCCAAACAACCAAATAAGGCAGCACAGAATCCAAACGCATTGAAGCTAAGCTCCGTGATAGACGTCAAAAGAATCCCTCCAACAATGGGAATCAGTGATGTCCATATGCGCCACTCAAAGTACCTTCTCCATACTAACCACTGAAGGATAACTATCGCAAAATAACAATAAGTAATATTTGAGTAATGGCTCAAAGCACGTTGAAATAATAAAAAATTAATACATGGTCAACCTGTTGTTGCAGGAGTGAAAGATTTTATTGTCTGCATGAAAGAAACAGGTATATACCGCAAGCTCACATTTCCCAGCACAATGTTGATGCAGAAAACAAAGGACATAGGGAATATTCTTTTCCAACGGTCCTCTGGTTCAACTTCGATAAGTGGTTTAATCTTCAGTACTTTTATGGCGATATAAGCTCCAACAGAAGAGCATATGAAGTGGATGCATGATACTGTCAGAGGAAACTTAAAATCCAAGTTCTGTAAACAAAATAAATTTTAGGTTATCCAGTTTATTGTTTGAAATTAGTAAACATAAACTACATGAATATCCAAACAAAAATAAAAAGTATGCACTCCTCTGGTTATAGTGAGAATGAAATAAGACAAGCAGATGAATTGAGAAAGAGGAATGACAATTGAAAAAACAATTGGAGCTTACTAGTTAGCAAGGTTACAGACACGGGATACAGGTAAACACTGGACATGAAAATTTTGGAAAAATAGGGCACCACAAAACAGAATTATGATATATAAATTCTCTCTTGTTTATTTTAAGTGTATATATAAACACCTAACATATAAAGAGAGCTTATATACATGTATACATACATATGTTTATGCATCCAAGGGTTCAAACAACTAGTTGTAATAATATAACACATATAACAATTACATACATGCTAATCAACATATATATTTTATGATTTTGCAGAAGAGAATGACTTCACTCTTTAGTTTAATACAAAATGTTATCTAAGTTTTGTTTCATACAAGTCAATATTTATAGCCTTTTCCACTATAGTCTTGGATTACAGTGAAAATAAACAGATATCTCAAAACATGTAATGTGAATAAAAAAATTGAAGCGCAGGATATACGTCGAAGAAGTGTATTGTTTTAAATTAAACATGTATTATATAATTACATGTTTAATAAAATGTGTGGACATGTCAAAGGAGTGTTCAAGGAAGTCTAGGACTCTAGTTGTTCAGTACAGTACGGAGTTTCAGAGATGATAAAAGTGCTCAAGTTACATAGATTAGAGCATTATGTGAAAAACTATATCAAGGATCGTCATTGTGTCACAAAAGTATTTGTGAATATAAAAGTAGGAGACTATACAAGCGAAGCAGTAACCTATGCTTCACAAAAAGGGAACGGACATGTAAGGAGATTGTAGTGACATACATGGACAAGCATAGGGTATAGACAGATCATGTAAGGATCAGTACAAGAGATGATTGTGGCATCATCCTGATCCCAATACACATGCACCTTAAATCTATAAGATAGGACCATTACTGAACTTAGTTTGCTAATAATTCCTATAGATGGTAACCTGCATCATCAAGTGATGGCCATCTAATTGTGCTTCAGAATTTTTCTTATATGTCCCTCAGTGCATCATTATATTAATTATTCTAGTACATATTTATATTTAATTTTTTGCTACGATATGTCAGCATAGCTAGCTTTTATAGAACAGCGAGGGAAGATAATAAGTAAAACAGAGCCATGAGATGATTCCCCTTGTTTAGAGAGAAGCAGGGGTAAAGCAGAAAACTTGAACCATTGAGCATGAATCCCTTCGAGTAAACAAAGGGTAGTAATTCTATGCCCTTTTCCACTCTATTGAGTAGACATTGCTGCTGGAAAGCGCCAGATGAACTCTTACAGGTATAAAAGAAAGAGTGCTTGTTGTTGGTTCCAATCAACAAGTCAATAAACAGTATATGATCTCCAGTAATAAAATACCGAGAGTTTGTTTGGCAAGTGGCCAATACTTTGGAAATGGCTTATTTTGGCTTGTAAGCAACCAAAAAATAAACTGGGTTACCCTACCTTGATTTTTGATCGCTTATAAGCCACAAGGTTTGACCGTGTAAAAGACCAACACGCCCTTCGCAACTTCAGAAAATTCCAAGCCCTAATTATGTCACTCTCTAATCCTATTTAATGCTTTTTGGTCATTTCAACAGCAACGATGGCCTATATAAGTCACCATTTGACTAAAGGGCCGCAAAAGAGGTAGTAAGCAATTACACCAACACCCACAAGATCAACACAAGACAACCAATCTTCAAGACCCAAGTTATATCTGATAACTTTCACCAAGCCTTGCGAAATAGGCAGAGAAATAAAAGCATGCAAACAACACACGATTTATACGTGGAAAACCTCTTCAATGTGAAGAGTAAAAACCACGGGACTGGAGGAGTCCACCACTTCTTCTCTTATTATGATAAGTTGAGGGTAAAAGAAACCCAAAACAGTCTCATAAAGTTTCACAACCCACCAACAGGCACATACATAAGAGATTCATCATTTGAGGAACAAAAGTGAGAAATATCACCAAAACACAGAGGTTCTGTCCAACTGCAATACTCGACGATCCGGAGCTCACATCGACGATCCAACCGTTCAGATTGAAGCCCTATGTGTCCCCAACAAGCTGACCAAGTTTCAGCAAAATCGGACCATGTATGCACCTTGATCGGACGAATTGATTAACACTGGTCCTGAGAATCCGAACAGGAGCAGCCCCTCTCAAACACTCTGATTTCCTCTCTTTTTCTTCTGTGTGGAAGATGATCAGTCCCCAACAGCCCTCTTCTGACTTATTGGGATACAGCTGGCTCTCTCTCAAAGCTTCTCCAAGAAGCTACAAACATTACCCATAAAATGGGCCAAAACAGATAAGTAAGTTTTGGGCTTGCAAATTAATATTTGCCACATCGCGGGAGATTATGGGTTCAGTCCCATCGCGATCGCCACCACTTTGTGGCAAATATTAATTTGCAAGCCCAAAACTTACTTATCTGTTTTGGCCCATTTTATGGGTATATTAATTTGCAAGCCCAAAACTTACTTATCTGTTTTGGCCCATTTTATGGGTAATGTTTGTAGCTTCTTAGAGAAGCTTTGAGAGAGAGCCAGCTGTATCCCAATAAGTCAGAAGAGGGCTGTTGGGGACTGGTCATCTTCCACACAGAAGAAAAAGAGAGGAAATCAGAGTGTTTGAGAGGGGCTGCTCCTGTTCGGATTCTCAGGACCAGTCTTAATCAATTCGCCCGATCAAGGTGCAAACATGGTCCGATTTTGCTGAAACTTGGTCAGCTTGTTGGGGACACATAGGGCTTCAATCTGAACGGTTGGATCGTCGATGTGAGCTCCGGATCGTCGAGTATTGCAGCTGGACAGAACCTCTGTGTTTTGGTGATATTTCTCACTTTTGTTCCTCAAATGATGAATCTCTTATGTATGTGCCTGTTGGTGGGTTGTGAAACTTTATGAGACTGTTTTGGGTTTCTTTTACCCTCAACTTATCATAATAAGAGAAGAAGTGGTGGACTCCTCCAGTCCTGTGGTTTTTACTCTTCACATTGAAGAGGTTTTCCACGTATAAATCGTGTGTTGTTTGCATGCTTTTATTTCTTTGCCTATTTCGCAAGGCTTGGTGAAAGTTATCAGATATAACTTGGGTCTTGAAGATTGGTTGTCTTGTGTTGATCTTGTGGGTGTTGGTGTAATTGTTTACTACCTCTTTTGCGGCCCTTTATTGACAATTGACAAACACTCTACTACTGAAAATGGATTGTAATCCACTAAATTTAACGAACAGTTTGGATTATAATCCACTTGGCTTGGCTTATAATCCATTTGTGGATTACTACGCCAAGTGAATTGTAATCCAAAGTTGCCATTGTTGGGGAAACCCCCGATGCCGAGATCCAATACCAAATCGCCGAGAGAGAAAGCCAAACACACCAACTCAATTAGCACAAATAATCAACACCAGTTTTAACGTGATTCGGCGAGATGCCTACTTTCACGGGGCAAGGAAAGGGGAGTTTTCACTATTAGAAATCAAAGGGATACAACTAGGATTACAAATCTCACAAAAAATCCTCTTCAAATCACACTTGATCTCTCCAAATGCTCCTACAATAGAAGCCCAACAAAACCCCTCTATTTCAGCTCAAAACCCTTGCACACCAAACCCTAGAAACACCCCTTAGGTATTTATAACAATCCAAAACGAAACGAGTCTGGAACCTAGATTCAGCCCAAACCGTTTCGGCGGTCGACCGCCTAGGCCAAAGATCCAGAGGCACAGTGAGGCCCCGTGCACGAACGCGGTCGACCGCCACGATCTCGCGGTCGACCGCCGACCATCCAAAACGTTCCCCAGGCTCCATCAACTGTTCTGCCAGTTCTACAGCCATGTATGCTCTGAGTCAAGCCAGATCTTGCTTATGAATGAAAACAAGAAAATTATCGATGATCAGTACGCCACGTACATGGACTTCTAATTGGCAGGTTCATCCAATTGAACCCTAGAAACACCCCTTAGGTATTTAAACACCCTGTCCGCTACAATATATATGCCGACCCGGATTTTCCTTTTTTTTAAAGAAAAAGCAACACCCTGAGATCCCCGAACACATTCACGTAGATCTAAAATTTTAACCGGAGCCTTCACATTACAATGCGGCGTGAAATTACGAACCCGCCGACTCAATCTCCAACCGGAAAATTCGCGGGGAATTCAAACAAAACAGTTAGATCCAGACAAACAACAGCAAGGGAGAATCTGGATCGCTCAAACAAAAGGAATGACGCGTACCTGAAAGATCCACTTGTTCATGATGATGACGGTGACGTTGAACCCCCACCACTGCAGAATCGCGAGCACCGCTCTGAAAACCCCCCAGTTCAGCACCAAGCCCTCCTCCATCTCTCCCAATCAACCCAAGAATCAAACCCTCGAGCGCGAGCGAGCGAAGAAGGGGGATCGGCGACGGAGAGAAGTGGCGATCCCCTCACTTAGATCTCCAATTAATTGCGAGAGGAAAGAGAAACGCCAACGGAGCCCCCGGAGTTTGAGAGGACGAGGAGGTAGCTATTTATAGAGGCCATGAGCGAGGAGGAGGACTGGAAGAGGCGTGAGAGACATGAGAGAGAGAGAGAGACAGGGGGAAATGAATGATGGTGCTTTTTAGGGGAGACGTTATTCGGACGAGCGAACGGAAAAAAAAAGAGAGAGAGAGAAAACAAGCAGCTTGCTAATAAACTGGTTTTTATGAATGTTAGTCCCTCAGATCCTCATCAGCTTCCTGCTAGCCCCTCAAATTAAACGTCGCTGAAATTGCTCGTAAGTCCCTCATGTCCTTGAAATCGCTCGTTATTCCGTCAAACCCACTTCGCCAGTTGAGCAGCTCGCGTCATGAGCAATTTCGAAGATACGAGAGGCCGGTATGAAATTCCTGAAATGTGAGAGGCTAGTACCTAAAAATCCCAACTATTAAATAGACTTGAGAAGGATTTTTACATCCACCCGCTTCGTCCGACACCCACCTTAAGTGGGTCCCAGTTGATCAGCTTCCATCTACACTGTAAACCTCTAATGCGGAAACTGTCGAGGTTCGCGTATTTACAACCCAACAGACGCGTCTGAGGGACCACCGTGTGGGCTCCAGGTTGTTGTATCGTACCTAGCGAGGAGGTAATCCGGCATAGCCGCAGAGTTAAATTGAAGTCTGAGACACGCATGCTGTGCTATTATGGGAGAGAATATTTTCAATGGAAATTTTTACTAACCCCCAGCATTTTTTGGGTGTTTCCCACCAAATCACATGAATTTTGTTTTTGAGATAGTGCCCCAAATAGCAAAGAGAGTAGAGAAGATGCGCCCCCAAATAAAACGAAGGCTTAATTGCACATAATTATCCTCTAGTTTCCTCCACCCTGTACTTATATGCCCTCACTTGTTTTTTGGGAACACTTATATATCCTGAAGTTTTAAAAAATTTCACTTATATACCCTCTTTTCTGGACGCATTTAAATACCCTAAAATTTTAAAAACTTACATTTAAGTACACTAAAATTTTTAAAACTAACACTTAAATGCCCTAAAGTTTTTAAAACTTACACTTAAAGACCCTCAAGTTTGCGTAATTAAGGGTATTTAAGTGTAGGTTTAAAAAGTTTTATGGTATTTAAGTGGATGTTTAAAACTTTAAACGCTTGCTTGGATGGGGGCGAATGACAGACATGGAAGTATTAGCCTTGTTTGGTAGTTCTCTTGAGTGAGGTTGAGGGTGAGAGTGAAGGGTAACTAAGAGCAAGTGCAGCAAGCTCCCAGTTGGGAGTCCTAGTCAGCAAGCTCTCAAGAGCTCTCAAGCATTTTAGAATAAAAAATTAAAAAAGTAAGCCTTGAGAGACACTCCTTCTTTTATGGAGCTCCAACAAGCTCCTAGTTAGGAGCTCCAACAATATCAAAAAAACCCCTCTTCTATTTTAATATTTTACCCATTACTTTCAATTATATTTAAACCTCTTGTATTTTATTTCTAACCGTTGTAATTTATAGAGTTTTTCTTACTGTTCAACGGTTATTTTTTCACACAACGACAGTATTTTTCACTCAACGGACATTTAACGGGCATTTTTACTACTGTTCAATTGCGGATGTGAAACCCAAATAAAACTCAACCCAGCAAATTAAAAAAACTCTGGCTCATCTTCCCCAAATCATCTTCGTCATCGCCCATTCTTTTCTTCCCCAACTCATCTTCGTTTCCCCAAATCACCAAATCCTCTTCGTTTCCCCAACTCCGTCAGCGCCCTTTGCAAGGAAGCGCCTTTGCATATTTAATTAGCAAACCGAATATCTTTCCAAGTTGAACGGCTTTTAGATATTCCTATGCTTTGGTGCTCGTTAAAAAATCGTGCATAATAACAATGCTAAGAGCAAGGACAGCAAACTCTGAAGGAGGCTCTCAAGGCTGACGTGGCCGTGGATGTTGGCAGCCCCCCCTCCAGCAAGCTCCTATCCCCTCCCAAGCCCCTCTCCTAAGCGCTTGCGGTGCTGACCTGGCTTTGGGGAGCTTCCGAGCTCCCAAGCGCTCCACAAATTTGTGGAGCGCTTGGGAGCTCGGAAGCTCCCCAAAGCCAGGTCAGCACCGCAAGCGCTTAGGAGAGGGGCTTGGGAGGGGATAGGAGCTTGCTGGAGGGGGGGCTGCCAACATCCACGGCCACGTCAGCCTTGAGAGCCTTCTTCAAAGCTTGCTGCCCTTGCTCTAAGGTTACAAGTTCCTCTCAAATATGGACTTTTCTTTCCCCCTCAATTTTGGCGGCAACCAAGGGGAAGGGAACCGACTTCCCAAATTTATTTTCTTAGGACTATTTTGCCCTTCTCAAGATGTCAATTGGGCGGTTGGGATTTAATATTAAGAAATCCTCTTGTTGAAACTCCCAAATTTATGTAATTTTGCATAAATTCTCTCCCCTTCTCTTGCCCTATTGAAACCCCTAAACAAAATGAAAGCAACTTACCTTCCCTTTTCCTAGTAAACTCCCAAACAAGATACTGTATTCTCCCTTAACTTTCCTTACCATTTGTTACCCTCCCTTCCCCCAATTCACATTTATCTTTTCTTCTCCTAGTAAACTCCCAAACATAGTGTAAGCATATAGAAGTGCTGGAAAAACAACAACTGAGAGTTCTCATCACGAATCACAATATGAAAACTACATAAATTGGGATTACTCCGGGTCATGAATTACAATATGAAAATATTAGCGCCATATAAGCAAGCCAGCGATCTAGAAAGTACTCGTCTCTCTTAATATATTTATATGATATGACTGAGAAACTACTCTTCAGCTTCTGAGCCCCCTCAACGATTCCTCCAAAGCTAGCTAGCATCCCTTCGAATTACAAAACTCTTCGATTCTGTTCCGTTTGAATAAAGAGAAAATTGTGTCTCGGCCCCAAATTAGAGACCTTGAAGTGGTCCAGCCCCACTAATTAATCCTCTTGGGCTTTAGCCCCAAAATTGTGTTTGTTGTGTGGCCCAACCCATTTAGCCCTCCTTTATACATAGAGTGTGTGTATTTTGACAAAACTCCCGTAAATGCCCTCTTCTCTCTCATAGGAAACCAGCTATGTTCGCGGGAAAAATCGTAGCTTTCATTGAAGTCATTGTGCTCTTTGGCAATTGTTTATCGATTACACAAAGATCCGGTCTTTTTATAAGATCCGGTTACAACGAGATCAAAAAAAAGAAATAAAAATTACAACTTTCCTTGAATGAATCACGAGCTCCTGTTTTGCGGTCACTCGCTTTTGTGGGTTCTTCGCTTGCGCCGGGGTTAATCCGTAGACCACCGCGCGATCTAGATCCGGTCGGATCTACACGGTATAACGGGTGTTATCTCACGAAGGAAATAACAGCCGGGGGTACTGTTTCACCAAGGAAATAATAGCCCTAGTAATCGAAATCGACCAAGCGAAATTGAGACTCTTCTCGGGATCAAAAACCAAGTTTTGATCCGGAGGATAACCGTATAGATCTCAGATCTGATCTCTCTCGAACTCCTGCCTTATTTGGCATGGATGATCGCCAAGAACCAGATCTGATATGTCTAAGTCTTCAAAGTTCCAAAGCTTCAATCTTTTTAAGTTTTGAGCCTTCAATCCAGCAGAGCTTCGCCTCCAAAAAATTCCAACCCTCAACAAATGAGCCCCTCTAGCCTATTTATAGGCACTCAAACCTGTGCCTTGGCACAGGTGGCCGGCCACCATGGGGTGGCTCGGCCACCCCATGGGGTGGCTCGGCCTCCGAGCCACCCTAGGGTGGCTCGGTGGCCGCCGAGCCAGACTCTGATTTGGTGTCCGGATCCTGATTTGGCAGTAAATCCGCCTTGGTGTTTGAGTTCGAATCCGTTCTATGGTTGAATGACTCGTTGACTCCCCGAACCGTTGGCTTGATTCCGCACGCGAATGGATGCATTCCGTTGCTTGCGTGCAATTCGTTAACCTCGTCGCCTCGTTAATCCGCTTCGTTGCGTGTTACTTAGCTTCGGTGTTGTGGACTGACGCTCATGTTTAGATACGTCACCCGATGGTTCGTCGGTTTGTGCCGAGCTGTGCTAAGGGACCTATAAGCAGTTTTATACGCCTACAGATACCCCCTCCAAAGTATTTCAGTCTCGTTCTTTTATAGAAGAGTCTGGAATACTTTGGATATGATTGTCCCAACCTTCAGTCGGTGTAACGGGACCTTGGAATGGCTTCTGTTCTTGATTCCTTCAATCCTTCAGGCTATTCGGTGCTTTGTCGAATGTCTGTAAGGGTTCCGGTACTGCATTTATTGTCTGACCGTTGTCAGAATTTTGAACTTGAAGTCGATTCCTGATTTTTTTGATCTTTAGCTCGTGTTTGTTGGTTCAACAAAGAACTGACCATCGATTGTTGGCTTTGAGTTCTCATTTGCGTTGCGTTGTCTGGCGAAGTGTTGTTGAGTTATCCTTAAGAATATTTTTAGAAAAAAATATTCTCCAGGAACTTCTCAACCAAAAATAGG